TTTTTACTTTCCACAATATGAGCAGATATTATGACTATGACAAGTAGACTGTTTCGTAATTCCGTACCTTGAATCTCTGGAAAGGCCACCAAATAGAGCATTGTCCACTGAAGTGCTGCGGCCGTTGTCTCTGTTCCAGCCAGAAATAGATCAGACAGTAAGACTCGTAATTGCTCTTCTTCAAAGCCTGAACTTTTCTTCTCTGGCTTTTTGTCAGTGAAAACAACAAAGATGAATATCAAATAGAAAGAAAGGATTTCCTCCCAGTTTGCGCATCCTTTTTAATAGAGTTGATAACATCAGTTTAAAAACTGGAATTCACTCAGAAAACTGTGGCTAAAAGGGTAACAGTAACTTCTTCCAGTAACAACCCAATATGATTGTTCCAAAGCTGCTTTTTCAGGAGGCAACTGGACTTCCTTGTTTTTTCTTTTGCAGACATTTCACTTCTCATCCAAGAAGCTTCTTCAGCTCTGACTGGAGGGTGGGGAATGGAAGGATTTATATTCCTTGCAGGCAGCTGGTCATTTGTGTTCCTTTAGAGGGTCATTGAAGCACTGGGAGGTTTGACTGTGTCTTCAGGGTGACCTGAGTGGTGCAAATGGTTCCTGTAGTCTACAATTTTTTCCTCTGGAAATCCATTCCTACTCCCACATCATTCAAGGGGTGTTCATCCCAAATTGTATAGCTCTTCAGCTCTTCAGGTCAGAGCTGAAGAAGCTTCTTGGGTGAGAAGTGAAATGTCTTCAAACAAGAAAGTCCAGTTGCCTCCTAAAAAAGAACCAACACCTGGAGGACTGAGAATCTCTACAAACCAATTATGATAGAAAGAGTTCAGGAAGATAATGAAGATCCCGCACAGCTGGCAATAGGAACTTTCCTCCCAGTCCTGGTCTAAAGATCTACTCTAATTCAGAATCTCCAATCCAGGGGTGAAATTCTACTGGTTTGGACAGGTTCGCCCGTACCGGTAATTAAAAAATGGTACCGATTCGGGTGAACTGGTAGTTCCAACAATCAGCTGTGCAACAATCAGCTGTGCCATGGGAAATTGCACAGAATAGCTGATTGTCACAGAGCTGATTGTCGGAACTACAATCTACTGGTCATTAGAACTACTGGGCAAACCAGTAGTTCTAATGACCGGTAGCAGACTTCAGAGCAATTCACCCCTGCTTCAATCCTCAGTCTGTGGACCAGCACTGGGCCGCACAGATAAGGGAAGGGCCATCCATGGGATACAGGCAGCATGGAAAGCTGCACCCACTCCTGTCCACGGAAAAACCTTTCTCCACGGAACCGATCCCTGGTGTGCAAAAGGTTGGGGCCCCTGTCCTAGTTAGTTGGGGCTATACAACGTGCAAAGCACCAGGGAGAAAGTAGATCTCTAGAAAAGTCACTGCATCGATGTGTCTGTGGCACTTTCATAAGGGACAATGTCAAAACCACAGGAAAAGAAAGGCCTGCAAATTGAACCATCTACCTTCTGTATTTCTTCTAAGTAGGCATCAGTGAAATCACGAGGTTCTCCCGGAGTCAAGGTCGCCTTGTGTTCTTCCACCTCCTTTTGAATAAAAACATATATTTTCTCTGCAGTTCTTAGTATTGTCTGGTGGGGCAAGGGGAGACTTCTTACCAAGGGCACCTCGTTGTAAAGCTGCCAGCAAACAGAAGAAAAACCAACATTGATGAATTCGATCATGGTAATCAATTTATACAATTCTTCTTCTTCTTGAGCCCTGTCCATCATCGGACGTTGGAGATCATGTTGGCGATCCTATTTTTGTGAACAGCCACATGAAAAAGTGCTGTTGAGTTTTGTCCAAACCGGCCCCTTAGATTTTGAAGCCATGATGTCCTTCTTCTGTCTCCTTTGCCTTCAATCTTCCCCTGGAGGATTAAGTGAAGGATGCCGTATTTTTTCTGGGTGTTGCATAACATGTGCAAAATATTCTAACTTTTGCTTTTGGTTTTTTACCACCAAGGAAGTGGTACTTGGGTTAGCATGGTTGAATAAGTGGGGCCCCACGATTTGGTGGGGAGCTGGTTGCAGACACCTGAGGATAGGTCTAGGGCCCAAACCCTCCTCACAGAAGGAAAAATAATCCCTGGTAACATCTCTCATTCCCAAACTGATTGAGAATCAAATGTCCTAATAAGTGGAAACTAATCAAGGAGAGAAGCAACCTAGAACTAAGGAGAAATTTCCTGACAGTTAGAACAATCAATCAGTGGAACAACTTGCCTCCAGAGGTTGTGAGTGCTCCAACACTGAAAGTTTTTAAGAAGATGTTGGACAACTATTGTCTGAAGTAGTGTAAGGTTTTCTGCCTAAGCAGGGGATTGGACTAGAAGACCTCCAAGGTCCCTTCTAACTCTGTTATTCTAAACTAAAGTTAAATTTCACTACAAAAACTGGCCCTTAATTAAACTGAGATAATTGCAGGTTTCCACCAAATCACTCACACAAGTTGTTTCACCCACTGTATCCTTGCTCTCTGCTGAGATGCTGTTCTAATTTCAGGAAACTTACAGAGTTTCCAAAATGTGTGAACTATGGAACTTTAAATGGCTCTTGTGCATTGATGTGAATCTTTCATCACGCTTCTTGATAAGCATACCAAGGCCCAGTGTCATCA